ACAGAAAATATGTGTATAAGTGTGCGTATAACACATGCGCACTATATGCGTGCATATCTGTGCGTATGGCATACACGCATAAATGCTATGTGTGCGTATAACATATGTGCGCACATACGCATAAAGTGTATGGGTATTCTGCACACATTTACACACACGTATACTCTGTGTGCATTATACGCACGAATATACACACATACACTGAGATGAATTTTCTCCAAATTTCCAACAGATGAGAGAAAGGAAAAAAAACTGAATACATTTCAGTCGAATCTAAAGATATGCATTCCAAGCTGGGAGCCATTTTAAAACTCAAATGTGAAAGCCTACAACAACTATGACTCCAACAATAAAAGCAGGAAATTAATTACGCAGCGTTATTTGAAGGCCATCAGTATCGTTCTAGGCCATTTAGCGCCGTCCATTTATAGCTCTGACGGTCGGGGTGCTGCTCTAGATGTGGACCCTCGATGGAAGGAACACAAAATCCCAAGAGTGTTTGCAAAGTGCGGCACTTACAAAAGTCTGAATCTCTTCCATATGTAATAAATCCTTTTATGTCTAACTTTTGTTTTATACATGAGAGACAGATTTATTTTCTCTTATATCCACTTCGGAAAACAAAAAATTGTTGCCTTTTCCTTCTGAAAATTATTGCCATCAACCTTATTATTATTAATTGTGTGCACAAATTTTCAGCATTTGTTATAAAAGATACGGTTTTCTAAAGAGTATTTACTCTCAAGTTTAAAAAAAATAAGATAACATTTGCACTTACATCCAATACTGAGTGTATTTTTTATCTAGTGCCCGGACTGCACGAATTTAAGCGTGCTACTAGATTGGCACCTAGGTCCCAGCCGTTTACTGTTGAAATAGTTACATACAACCGCCAATTCTTTCCCAAGTTTTTTTCTCGTATTTCCAGCTTGTGGAACCTCCTCCCGTTTACTTGCTCTCCCGATAACTACAATCTCCAACAATTTAAATGCAACGTCAATCGCCATCTTCTGTCTTCTTGAATCCTGTTCATCTTTTGTATTTTCCCCAATCCTCTCTATTCTCAGTGTTTTCTCTCACTTTCATTCCGTGTAACGCCCTACGAACTAGTGGCATTCGCGCCTTGCTGAAATAAAGTGTAATAAAAAAAAGGAAGATTATTGTTCTCCCTCCTCGTTCCGTGTCCTGCCAAACTGCAGATGAAACTTTAGCAACAATTCTTGTGACACTGGTTAATTTAAGGTTCTTTTTGTTAATGATGAAATCACTCCAACTCAAGGGAAAAAATGTACGGACTTCAACGATAACAGAATTACTTTAATAGATGCAAGTGATGGAGATATATTACCAAGGATTCGGCACCATATAGAAGATTGAGTAGCTTGTTAGCATTTTATTTTAACTAAAGTTCACCAATACATGAGCCACTCAAAGTAGAGGCGTACTGGATTAGGAGTGGGATATGAGCGTTAGAAAATAGAGTAGGAAAGGAAGATTATGAAGACATGGCAGATAGATAAAGATTAACAGTAGACATGAAAATGTAAAAATATCAGCAGGGAGTTCTATTGAAGATTTCCCGAAAAGACGTTGTTATTTTTTTTTTTTTTCAAATTCGTTAATGTATTGTTCTGGAAAGTAAAATCATGGTAGACTGTTCCATAAAGTATTTACATTCAGCGCGCCCACATTGCTACAAAAGTCTAAATTACCTGTTTTTCTCCAACATTCAAGCCGGTAAATGTAACTAATACTGTTTAAATAAAAAGCAGAGCAGTTACTTAAATAAATTGTATCTATAAAAATAACATATAAACAGAAAATATTATATATCTAAATTTAACTTTTATATTAACAGGTGTAATATTGGAGGAATCGATACTTTTCTCATACAAACTCAGTTACGGTGGATTGGTCTTTTCTTGAGAATGTCTGATGACAGGATACCCAAGATCCTAATGTACATCAAGTTAGAACAGGGCTACAGGAATGTAGGAGGCCCATGGCTAAGATACAAAGACAAGCTTAAGAACAACTTAACAAGCAGTTAATATACCTCTTAACACCCTCGAGCGCTTAGCCTTTGGGGCGGGTAGAGTGGAGATGAACGTGTTTTAATGGACTCAGCAGTTTTCAATCATCTTGTTGGAATCGTCTTCAAGAAGCGAGAGCAAGAACTAAAAGGTCAGCCAATCTAACAGGGATCTCATGCCACAATCCTAACTCTTGCTCCATATGCGGCCTCCTTTGTAAATCACTAGCGGGTCTTAAGTGCCACTTAAGATTATCGCACAAAATTTCATAACTGAAAATATTAAGTTGTCAGATCCCCATCGAAAAAAAACCGATGGAGGAGAGTCCATTATATATATATATATATATATATATATATATATATATATATATATATATATATATATATATATATATATAATCATTTCACCACCACGAGCAGGTCGATAATATCACTGGACTACAGGGAGGGAAAGAAAATGAGAAGACTTTAGTGAGAAGAAATGATGAAAGGACAATGAAGGAACAGAATTTCAAAAGACAGAAACATTTTTAATAAAGAGAATTGCATTAGGCTGACAGATGCCAAAAATGTCTAAAAACGGTGATTTTTATCGATTTAAAAAATCCTGCCACTAAATTAAATTGGTTTTGAAATGCATCATTGTATTTTGATTATTGTAAATATTAAATTTAAACTATTGGATTGGAATTAAAGATTTTTCATTTTTAAATTAATTTTCAACCTTTAGGTATCGCATTTCTTCTCAGATACCTATACATATATATATATATATATATATATATATATATATATATATATATATATATATATATATATATATATGTGTGTGTGTGTGTGTGTGTGTGTGTGTGTGTTTGTGTGTGTGTGTGTGTCAGCAGAACCTCAGATGAAATCTCTCTCTCTCTCTCTGTATATATATATATATATATATATATATATATATATATATATATATATATATATCCTATATATATATCCATATATCCAGAAATCAGCAGGGAGTTCTATTGAACATTTCCTGAAAAGACGTTGTTATTTTTTTTTTTTTTTCAAATTCATTCTTGTCAAAATAGAAACATTCTCTACAGACATGCGCAGACGTCGCTGAGGCTTATGGAAAAAATAAAAATAAGAATTACATTATCTCTTTTATGTCGATCAGTTTTTATTTTTACTGTTTGCACCTGTATATCGCCTCAATAATCGATCTCCTCAGTATGTATTTGACGTCCATTTATTTTAGCAAGATTCTTATTTTTGTGCCTAGTCATTCAAGGATGTGGGTGCTCATGGATCATCCATTGAAACAAACTTATTGGCTGATTTGCCTTATTTTTAATATTTACTGCAAATATTACATTCTTCAGGCCTTCTTTTCTCATGACGGTAATCGTAATTGTAATATTAACCGATTCCAGACAACTGGTCATTGATACCTAGCAGCTTTTGATTGAAATTTATAAAATCTTTCTTTTTTCTCATGTCGAATAGCTTTTATCGCTCTTTCCAGTATTGACGAGCGGTGTCCTTCCTGTTTATTTGAAGGACAAAGATTAGTATAGCAAATTTTAACGTCTTTTTGTTGTCATCTCACATTGATTTGGTAATTCTTGCAAAAATCAAGTAATTGTCGGATTTCAATGAAACCTTCAGGACTTATTCACAAATGAATTAAATTATTTTAGAAATGTTTCTTTTTTTTAGAAAATCTTGCTAATTTTTTGTCAATCTTATATATATATATATATATATATATATATATATATATATATATATATATAGAGAGAGAGAGAGAGAGAGATAGATATATATTTAAATAAGTTTTTGTAGTACAAAATTTAAGGATAGCTAGGTATAAGCTTAATTTATATGGCAATTTAATGTATATTTTAAAAGCTAAAGATAACAACCGGTTTCGTCCCAGCCTTATCAAGTTTATTTCTGGGATATAAAAAAATAAACGTGTAAATTTAATTGATATATACGTGCGTGTGTGTGGCTGTGTGTGTATGTATATTAGCAGAACTTGACATGAACACCAAGTGACAAAAGTCTGTTTCTTGTTTCAACGCAATTTCCAATCCTCTCTCTCTCTCTCTCTCTCTCTCTCTCTACACACACACACACACATACACACACACACACACACACACACACACACACACACACACATATGTATCCTTTTATATTTAAATGCGGTATTAATCGTCATTTTCTGCTTCTTTAAATCCTATTCATTTATTTTCCTGTTTTTCTTTGGGGGGGTTCTTTTTCAAGATATAATTTTAATGACAAACCCCCAACAAAATATTTTATCCACGAAGTTGCGTACACTTCAATGAACAGAATGAGCCCAAAACAATAAAATAGTAATCCTGACCTCATATAAATATGCCAATCATCAAGAAATGGAAAAGGCAAACAACTCAACAATTAAAACAGTCGCTAACTAACCTAATCGTCTTCATAAAGAAATATTTTTGCTTATTGGTAGCAGCTGTCTTTAAAATTTCAGAAACAAATCAAGATTCTTGTGGCTATGATTTATAGTTGTCATTACAGCACTGACATATTATGATAGACAGAGATTAAGAGCAGGACATTCTGTAAATGACTTCCGAAGCGGACCACACAAGCAGAGAAAGAAAGCTCTGCGCGTGCGTGTGCGTAATAAAGACGTTGAAGATTCGCAAGTGTGAAAGGTCTTAGCTTAGATAAGAAATGACTTAGATACCTAAAGATGAGAGAGCGTGAAATTGTATTGGAAAAGATCAAAGTATAAAACGTCTTTAGTTCGCCTCAAGAGTTTGTTGGGAAACGGGAAGTCGGACAGCTAGAATTCGGAGAGAAAGAGATAGAAAGAAAGGGTGCTACATAAGCGACAGAATGTTTGATGCTGATATTAGAGAGGAAGAGGAAAAGGGAAAGCGAGAACATTGGAAAGAGGAAGGGGGGAGGGACAGAAAGAATCGGTAGAGTGAAGCAGAAAGAGATTCGAAGAAGAGAAAGTGAGAAGAAAATGTTTAAATAATGGGAAGATTGAAAAATTATGGAAGAAAAAAGAAAAAAATTTACAGAAAAAAAAGGAGAGAAAAGTATAGAATATCGTATGAGAAAGAAAGAAGGAAAGAAAGAATGAAAGACAGCAGGAAAATATACAAAGAAATAAAAGAAAGAAAGACGGTAACGCAAGAAAACAGAATGAACTAAAAGAAAGAAAGAAGGTAAGTAAGAAACAAAGAAAGAAAGAACGAAAGAAATAATGAACCAACGAAACGGAAAAGAGAGTAAATAAAAGAAAAATATAAGATTAATTTACAGAAAAAAAAGAGAGATGAAGAGAAAAAATATGGAAGATACTCTGTCAGAAAGAAAGAAAGAATGAAAATATACAAAGGAAAAAAGAAAGAAAGAAATACCAAAATATCAAATGAACTAGCAGAAAGAAAGAAAGAAAGAAAGAAAGAAAGAAAGAAAGAAAGAAAGAAAGAAAGAATGTAAATATACAAGGGAATGGAATACAAAAATATAAAATGAACTAGCAGAAAGAAAGAAACAAAAAAAGCAAGAAAGAAAGAATGAACATATACAAGGGAACAAAAGAAAGAAGAAAATACATACATATAAAATGAACTAGCAGAAAAAAGTAACAAAAAAAGAAAGGAAGAAAGAAAGAATGAAAACTTACAAGGGAATAAAAGCAAGAAAAACAAATTAATAATCTAGCAAAATAAAAAGAGATTAAATAAACAAAAAATGATTTACACTCTTTACTTTGACTGTTATCACCTTTGTTGTCATATTCACGACGTTTCGCCTTTTATCAGGTGATTGGAATTTCGAACCGAACACTTTATTTCGGCTACCGAGGTAAACATGGAAGAAGCATGGCACGTGGAACTAGAACAATCGACAACAAAGATGAGGACAACAGTCCGAACAATGTAAATAGTAACAATACCTCATACCAGAAATATAGACAAAAGTATATGATTAATTTACAGTAAGAAAGAAAGAGAGAGAAAGAGATAGACAGAGAGCAATATAATAAACTATCAGTAAGCAAGACAGATATGTGATCAGCAGCGGTTGGCGTACACCCAGGTGGACGAAATAAAGGGTTCAGTTTGAAATTCCAATGACATGACGAATGCCGGAGTGTACAACGGTCGAAATGTCGTAAATATGGCAACAAAGATGAGTATAATCATTACAATAACTCCTCTCAGAAATATAGACAGATATCAAGAACTGTTTAAACTCACCTCACTTGTTTGTCTATCTACTGACCCACTCATTTTAATACTTGGTCAGTTTTCCAACTACTGCTATAATTTACACGCACAGACACACATGACCACATACCCACAGAATTAATAAACATACAAATAATTAAAGTCGACATTTTGCATCACATTCTTGTGAATTCAATAATTACTGGAACAATGCCACTTTTAACCTTTAAACTCAGTAATTCAGGTGGTTGCTTAAATAAATTATTTATTAATATTGTAATATATTTAATTAATTAATATTAATATTATATTACAATATTAATACATATTATATATATATTATATTACAATATTATTATTATTATATTATAATATTAATATTGTAATATGAGGAGGCACGGTGGAGTAATGGATAACGGCTCGGTTTGTGGAATCATCGAGACGAGTTCGAAATCCAATCAAATCCATTACATTCACTTACGTGATAATACTGTTTGGAAAGGTATGAATCCTCTTCTTATGCCTACATAGAAATGCTTGGATGGCAACTGATTTACCGCAGATAGAAATGGTAACCTATTGCAGGAAAAAAATCTACCTCGCCAGTCATGTATCTAAAGATAAATGATCGTCTAAGCGTGTATCACGCATGACACATAAATGATTGAATATAATAAGTAATAATCTTCCTAGTTTGTTTACATTAGACTGACTGCAAAGACTATTTTGCTTACATTTGATTTTTTTTTTTAAATTAGCGTTTCATTAAATATTGAGTATTGCTTTCAGGAATCGAAATGCAGGATTGGATATGAGTTGTACCGTGGAGATATGCCTGCAAGTGAATATAGGGTAACTATGAAAAAGAACCCATGGACAGCCATCGAGAAATGAATTGCGATTTTTCTTACAAAAAAGAAGCCAAGAAAACAACACACCGACAATGTAAAATACGACTTGTCGAATTCGTTCAACCATTGGCTAATAATTAAATAAAAGAAATTTCATTACATAGTCTCGGAAATTGTAATACAAGAGGTTCGAGTTATATTCCTTGGCAACGTCTTCTCTAATTCAGAATGAGGTTGCCAGTTTTCATCTACGATTGTCAGACGACAATTCTTCCAGCTCTTAAGTCCTCCTCTGTTTTTTCCTCCTGTCTTTCTATATCTATTACTCTATCTAACATCTAGATCTACTTCCTGCTCTATCAGTCTAGTTCTTTGTCATGTGTCTTATCGGTCTGTGACACTGCTTTCTTATTTGCAAAACTAAATTCCTGATTTGCTCAAGCAATTTACTCCTTGCCCGGGCCGACACTACTGAAAAGTGAGCGAATCGTGATTAAATAATTTATTTGTGAAAAGCTTGTAAAACGTGTCGCACAGTTAAATAATATCGTGGCAGTTGGTTGATTAGTTGTTTAATTTCGAAAAACGTGAGAATGATGAAGTAAAGTTTTGCAATAGAGCGAGAGAAAAAAACAAACACACGGTCTGCCGAGCAAACTGAATGAACATCACGAAGAAATGACTTAAAATTATTTATCATACAACACTTGCAACTATATCATTATTGTTATGGGGTTCACCCTTTTCGGATATAATGGACTCGTCCTGCTGCCATAAAATAGCCACAGTCAGCCAGAGAAGATGAGCCGTCCAAGAGTCGTACCAGAGTCGTCTGTGAGTGTCGGTAGTCGGATAGAGTGAAGTAACCTCTTGTAGAAGTCAGTTACAAGCACGTAGACTCTAAGGAAGTCCTACTTCGAGACTGTATATATCTATCTGTATTTGCTACTAACCGTGTTCCTGGATTTTACTAACAGCATTACCTTTTGTATTTTGTGTAAATACATTTAATTTCTTAGCTTAAATACTTGCGTTTGTCATTTATTGGATACCTCTTTTTCACGCGGGATCCACAACAATTATATTATTTGTGTTCATATTTATATAGTTTCAAGATTGACATGAGTCAGGCACGAGGAAACAAGGTGCGGCTTACATTTCATTTTATTTTATTCATTTATTTATCTATTTTAGAAAATGAATTTCCTTGAAAAATTATCGATTCTCCTTCTATTTTCCATATTTTACGAAAAGTCTCGATATGCTAGCCACAAAAATCTCCTGATCCGACCAAGCATAGAAATAAATAAAATATGGCAACCAGGAGGTCAAGAGAAAAGCAATAATAGAGGCATAACACGTGGAACTAGAACAATCTACCCCTGTGGACGAAATAAACGGTTCAGTTTGAAATTCCAACCACCTGAAGAAGGCCGGAGCGTACATCGACCGAAACGTTGTGATAAACATGGCAACAAAGATGACGACAATAGGTTGAATAATGTAAATAGTGTACATAACACCTCACCTCAGAAATATAGACAGATATACATTGTCGAATTGTTCTTGTTGTCACACGCGATGCACGCTTGGGCGATCATGTATCGAAGGATACATAACTGACAAGGTAGATTTTTTAGGTTGCCGCAGTAGAGAGGTTGCGAGGTTATAGATTTTTTTTCTACACTGAGGTAGACTAAGTTGCCAACAAAGGCTAAAGAACCCAGTCTGTCCTGCTATTCAACCCAAAGCTGGGAGGAGAAAGGATGGATTCGAGGGTATTTGTGTGTAAATGAATCTAACGAACTTCACTGGGATTCGAACTCGGCCCTCCAACTTCTCAAAGCACATAATTCTTAATTCATTTTTACGATGCTCAGTGTAGTTATTCGGTTTACAAGCCTGTAAAATCTATAACCTCGTATGCCTCTCTATTGAGAGCTGTTTAGTTTCCTACTTGATACAAAGCAAGATTTTTGTCCTAACCATTTTGACAACCAGAAAGACCAGCTGAACTTCCTTATGCTTTTTTTATGAAATACAATAATTAAAACAGAAGTCGTATTTTATGAAGGTTGCCTTATCGGGGAGACCTCCATTATACAATCTGCGAACCACTTCCTCACAAAAAATGGGGGAGGAGCTACAATCCAGGTGGGCACTTACAGATTTTAAACCCCGACTAATAACTTCTGTTTGTCTCTAGTGTAAACTTAACATATATCTACTTTTATAATCAATTGCAAACAAGTTCAAATGCAAACAGAATTTTTTGACTTGTGGGTAAACCGGACCTATGTCAGCCAACTGGATACAATGGCATAACGGTCCACCCTAGATTTGGACAGGGTAAGATTGTAGTGATTAGGGAAGCATCCTCTTGAGAGTCATTTCCACAAAGCAGCAGTTCATGGAAAGAATCTGCTCAAGTAGAATTTACATCTCACTAATGGAACATGAATGAAATGAGGGTGGTTCACAACAATGTGCATGGCAGGTTGTGTCTTAGCCAGGAAGGTTAGAACTGCTGGAATTAAGGAATGTAGTTTATTTGAACACTTTCCATGGAAATAAAGCAGAGAGAGGCTTGCAATATTTTTTACAGTGATGTTCACCCTATACAAGGCCCAAAAGCCACTTGGAATATGCAGGGAACATAACGGTTGACCCTAGATTTGGACATGTTAAGATTGTAGTGATTGGGAAAGCATCCACTTGAGAGTCATTTCCACAAAGCAGCAGTTCATGGAAAGAATCTGCTTAATTAGAATTTACATCTCACTAATAGAATATGAATGAAATGAGGGTGGTTCACTACAAAGTGCATGGCAGGTTGTGTCTTAGCCAGGAAGGTTAGAACTGCTGGAATTAAGGAATGTAGTTTATTTGAACACTTTCCATGGAAATAAAGCAGAGAGAGGCTTGCAATATTTTTTACAGTGATGTTCACCCTATACAAGGCCCAAAAGCCACTTGGAATATGCAGGGAACATAACGGTTGACCCTAGATTTGGACATGTTAAGATTGTAGTGATTGGGAAAGCATCCACTTGAGAGTCATTTCCACAAAGCAGCAGTTCATGGAAAGAATCTGCTTAATTAGAATTTACATCTCACTAATAGAATATGAATGAAATGAGGGTGGTTCACTACAAAGTGCATGGCAGGTTGTGTCTTAGCCAGGAAGGTTAGAACTGCTGGAAGTAAGGAATGTAGTTCATCTGGGTACTTTCCATTCAAGTAGCCATAGAGCAGTAAGAGTCCTGCTACTTCTCGTCTTGGACATACAGTCATTGTGACTTGTGACAGTTCACGATCCATTCGGCGATGATTGAATGTAACTAGTTTGATTTTCAAGGCATAGAAGTTAACCAACCAGTTTTTTTTCCCACTGAGATGTTAGAGTTAGCTCGGAGGTAAGATCAGTTGCCAATCTCTGGTCATCTAGAGTTCTGGGGGTGCACCCATATACTGTTGCATCATCAGCGTAAGTATTCACAAACGATCACAGTATACTATTAGGCAGACCATTTATGTAAAATAAAAAGAGAGTTGCTCTTAGAAGAGACCCATGGGGGACGACTGCGTTGATTGATA